CCCTGCCAGCACCGCTGAGCCTCGAACACATGCCCAGAGCGATGGGAGGCTGCTGGCAGGGCTGGGGGCTGCGAGGACCTGAGTCCTCCCCACTCACCCAGCCCTCCACTGAGTCCCCGTGTCTGCAGGGACCCCCAACCCAGGAGCAGCTCAAAGCTGGGTCACACACTGAGAAGGGGTGACTGCAGTCGCAGCTGGGCCATGACGGTGTCTTGGCCTCTTCTGTCTCCACTGGCAAAGCTCAGCGAACGTTGCTGAGACCCCCCTGGGAGGGCCATCCTCCTCCTCTGATGTGATTTTCCTTCTCATTGTAATAAAACTCATTATCAAGGCACTTACCACTCTGCATGTGACTTCAGGGCATTGGATACTGGAAATATCACTCTCGCCTCTTATAGACCTTGTAGAGACTCGTAATGGAAATATTAAGACTGGTGAGAGCAAAGAGAGAACAGAAATGTGTGTGTGTAAAAGCACAAAGAATCAGGGGCACAAGGGTTAAAAGAAGTGTGTGCTAATTGCTGTAGGGCTCCTATGTGTGATTTCATTCAAATGAGGAGGAGGAACTAATTGGCTGAAGATAAGGTGTCAGGAAGAAGCCTAACTGAGCCATAAATACACCTGTAACACAAACAAAAGAACTGATGTTCAAGAGTTTTGCCTAAGGCTCATGAGGTCTGAGATAAAATAATGGGGAAAAGATTTTCAAGCAGTATCCACTTCCAAAGGACATAAAAGGCAAGTCCAAGCTGGGTTTGCTGGCGGCAGTGGAGGAGCCCAGAGCCACAGCAAGGACTCGAAAGCCAGCTCCGAGCCATCCCACCTGGGCACACGTCTGGGCGCTGCTGGGTGCACGGGTCTGGGAGTGCCAGCAGGTGAGCTGACCTTAAGGTGAGCTGACCTTGCTTATATCTTGTAAAATAAAATCACCTTCCCCTTCTACAATATCTCACGTTGAGGTTTTTTTGCAATTTCCCATGCTCTCCTCTGTTTGGTGCAGTGTTTCTTTTGCTCCTCCTGGACTTGATCTTTCCCAGTAGTGGTGAGCTGAGCAGGAGTGGGTGCGGGGCCTGGAGGACTGTTGCGATCCCATCATGGCTGTGCCAGGCTGCTGGGCACCAAACCCCTCTTTCCTCCAGCCCCCCCTATTTTATCCTAATGTTGCTTTTCCCAGGGAAAGATCTGATTATCCACCAGGATTTCCGAGTTACACAGCTTGAGATAATGTCAGCCTGGGGACAGCTTTCAGAGCTGATCTCCTTGTAGCTCTCACTGACTAGCGTTGTTCCCAGCCGGCCGTGTCCAACCACCTTTCTCCTGTGTTTGGGTTTGCAGGAGCCTTCACCACAATGTTCATTAACAAGAAGCACTTCACCAATGCCATCGTCGGGGCACTAGTTGCACTCTCCATCATTGCCCTTGTTCTCAGCCTGGTAAAGATTGAAGATGTCGCCCTGCCACCGACGGTCAAGGTGAGCCCAAAAGAAGGTCCCCGAGCACCACCACAGAGACAGGTCACCTTGAGCAGGTGCTCAGAGACAACAGCTTATCTTTGGGGTTGGGGG